TTCACAGATTTTCACCAACCCAGACCCCAAAGTGACATACTGTTCTTTCTTCTTCAGAAACATGAATTCTGTAATCTTGGAAATCTTGCACAGGGCAATCGCCTGTCCCAATTGCATGAACTGCTTGCTAGACCCCGTCACAATAGACTGTGGACACAACTTTTGCAGGCCCTGTTTGTACGTCAGCTGGCCGGACATCCCAGCTCCTGCTCAGTGCTCTATATGCAAGACGGAGATACGGCGGAGAGAACTTAAAAGTAATACTACTTTGAAGAACATGGCTTCCTGTGTCAGAAAAGCCAGCCTCTGGCATTTCCTGAGCTCTGAGGAGCAAAAGTGTGGGATTCACAGGAAGACAAAGAAGGTATTCTGTGAAGTGGACAAGAGCTTACTCTGTTTGCTGTGCTCCAACTCTCAGGAGCACCTGGATCACAGACACAGACACTGTCCCGTTGACCGGGCTGCTGAGGAATGTGAGGTAAGTGATGCCTCTGAAGATCTGTTTCTCAAAGTACACATAAAATTCTTGTAAGTAGATTTCCTTGGAGATTGGATGATGCCATCTCTGTGTCCCTTTGAGCATCTCTATTATGAGCTTCCTTGGCTTCAAACCTCTCAGATTTGACAAACATGAAGAGAAACAGAGCAAACACTATTTTTTTGGGCTGATTTGTCTCTCATTCTGGGCCCCTTTTGTATATCAGAATGTGAAGTATACTTTATTTTCTTTACTGGTTCTCTGAGTCATAACTCTTTTGCAGGAGAAGCTCCTAAAGAAAATGCAGTTTTTATCAGAAAAAGCTTGTGAAAATCACAGAAACCTGAACATGGAAACGACAAGAGCCAGAGGCTGGAAGGTTAGGACGGTAGTACTCTGTCTTCTCCAGGAAATGATGGTGAACAAATGGGTGACTTTTAAAATAGAATTTTGGTCTCAAACCTTAATGTTTCTGGAACTCAATTAAAAAAGGAAAAAATGGTTGAGAAAAAGTAGCCTAATTTTTTCTTATGTAGGGTACTTCAACTCCTTGGTTGGATTTCATATATATATATATTTTTTTTCTTATGTATATATGTATGTTTTTTCCATTACACTATTACACTTTAGGTTCTGGGATATATGTGCAGAACATGCAGGATTGTTGCATAGGTACATATATGGCAATGTGGTTTGCTGCCCACATCCCTCCTTCACCTATACCTGGAATTTCTCCCCATGTTATCCATCCCCAACCTCCCTACTCTCCACTGTCCCTCCACTATTCCCTAACCCCCTCATCAGACCCCAGTGTGTGATATTCCCCTCCCTGTGTCCGTGTGTTCTTTGTTGAATACCCTCCTATGAGTGACAACATGCAGTATTTGATTTTCTGTTCTTGTGTCAGTTTGCTGAGAATGATGGTTTCCAGATTCATCCATGTCCCTACAAAGGACACAAACTCATTGCTTTTATGGCTGCATAGTATTCCATGGTGTATACATGCCAAATTTTCCTTGTCTATTCTATTATTGATGGGCATTTGTGTTGGTAGGATTTCTATCCAATTCACAGGTGTTACCCCAGCATTCTCATCTGTTTTCATGCAAACCTGTAGTAATACACCAACCAATACAAGAAACTGGGCCATTTCACAGTGTTCCCCATGTGCTGCTTGGATAAATCTGGGAATAAAAGTTATTTGGCAGTCATGGAAATTTCAAATGAACCGTCTGAAGCTGGGTCAGCATGAATTTGAATCCTGGTGGGCAAGTCTATTTGAAATGTGAGTTAAATTTCAGGCAGAAGGAGCAACAGCACAAATCTAGGGAAAGCATAAAATTAAGTATCTCAACTAGTGATTACTGAATAATACATAAGGCACAATGGGAAAAGTGGTGAGAAATGTAGATCTGTGTCTTGATGCAGACATAAATATGCAAGAAATGTGGAAACTAGTATCTAATAGAGAACTCTAAAGACTTGAGAACAATTCTAGAAATGATTTTTTCTTTGTAGATGTTTATCTTGAGACTATAATACCTACTATCAGTTTATTCTAATATTAACTCATTGAAAAATATTTATGAGTGCCCAGTGTCTATCAAACATTAGAAAGTTTAGTAGCATAGAAGAAAGTAAATATACAAATCTTGCAATGAAAATGAGAGAAGCAAATCGTCACCATGCAGGTACCTGAAATACATGCTATGGTAGAGTGTAGTAGTGTCTTTGGAAAATAATCAAGCAGGGAAATAGAAAAGGAGCACAGAGGCCAGAGACTGGGGATGAGGGTTTGAGTTTTCAGTAGAGTGGTCAGAAAGAAGGCTCATGAAAAAATTTACACTGAAACAATCTTAAAAAGGAGGGTATGTGTGTATATATATATATGTTATGTTTGCCTTACTCTTACACAAATATATATATTCATATATATATGTATACATATACACACAGATAAACATATTCATCATATATATTTACATATACCTATATATGAAATATATATATAAGTATATATATTAGAAATGTATATGTAAAGAATTCTAGGTAAAGAAAAGAGCATGTGCAATATTTTTTTGAGCTTATTTAGGGGTTTGAGGAACCACAAAAATTAGAGTAAGTTTGGAAGAGAATATATGAAACCTTATTAGGATATGTTATGCTAGGTGAAACACGCTGAATCAAAAATGCAAGTCTGTGGTCATTTCATTATTTCTTATATAATGCTTTTACATCTCTTGCCCCAATTCTCCAAAATAGAAATAATAGTTTCCTATCTAGTCAATGTAGCTCTATAATTTAATTCTTAAAAAAGAACTGTGTTTTCTTTCTTTAAATGTGGGTTGGATGAGAGAAATCAGTTTTTGTGTAACTATCTTAGAAAACATTTTATCATTAATCAAGAAAATGTAACTGGGCAAAAGCAACTATATTGATATTAATGCTGAAAAAATGAGAAATAAAATGTTGTGGAATCTGAGAATTGGCAAGATGGAGGGTTAAAATATTGGATGTTCAGGATGCTAAGAGGAATTGGTGAAATTCAAGAGAAGATGGACATTTCTATTTTGTCTAATTGTCACTATAGAATTATGTGAGTTTAAGGACAGAAGCAATCAGAGCTCAATATCAGAAGATGCCGGCATTTCTCCATGAAGAAGGGCAACATTATTTGGAGAGGCTGCAAAAAAATGGCGAGGACATTTTTCAGCAACTCAATGAAAGCAAAGCCAGAATGAAACATTTGAGAGAGATGTTAAGAGGAATGTATGAGGAGCTGAAGGAAATGGGCTATAAACCAGATGTGGAACTACTTCAGTTGTGCACTGACCATGGGATATCAGGATGTTGAACATTCATATGCAGAGTGCTTTCACTCTCTCCTGAAATTCATCACCCCCTTTATTTCCATGATTTGTTTCCAAAAACACATTTCTTTAACTAATGCTGGTTTGGTGGGAGAGTATAACCCCTCCTAAATGTTCTACCAGACAAAAGGTCCCTCCTACTTTATCCACCAGCAACAAAACTTTGTGAAATGGTCAAGGTAATGGCCCCCAAAAATATTTCCCATCAAAAGTCAATGATATATTTAGAATATTTGAAAGTGGATACAATGAGAAGTGATTCATTCAGGTTAGTTTGGAGACACGGCATGATAGAGAATTTGGGGAAATCTAGGATTGCATTAATAAAATTTTGTGGTCCACTCATTTTGGTGACAGGGCTTAGGGAAAATTACTGAGTAGCTTCTTTATAGTTACAGCAGAGCATAGACTCTGTGGGCCTCCTCTCACTTCACATGTATAGAAAATGTCTCCAAGACTTAGACTTTATCAGGACACTAATTCATGACAACATTATAGACTAAGATTTTCATTAGAAAAAAAATAGAAAATGCTTTCCAGGAGGGAAAATGATAGGAAAATAATGTTTTTAGAAACTGCCTCCAAATCTCACACTGAACATAGTGGAAGATGTATCTTGTGGAAAACACTAAGACTTCCTATTTTTTTTTTCCTTTTACAGGCTTTCGGAGACATATTATACAGGTGAGTGTGTACCAAGATTTAAGCACATGCTTTTTCAGTTTCCACAAATATCAAGCAGGAACTTTGATTCTGAGGCATAATTGATTCAAGTATTGATACCACCTTTTCCTGGTTGTACTTTCTCCATCCTCCACCCCATGTGGCCATCTATTATATTGTCATTCACAGTGATTTTTTTTTTATTGCATTTTAGGTTTTGGGGTACATGTGCAGAGCATGCAATACAGTTGCATAGGTACACACATGGCAGTGTGTTTTGTTTGCTTTCTCCCCTTCACCCACGTTTGGTATTTCTCCCCTGGCAATCCCTCCCCACCTCCCCCTCCCACTGGCCCTCCCCTTTTCCCCCTATAGACCCCAGTGTTTAGTACTCCCCTCTCTGTGTCCATGTGTTCTCATTTTTCATCACCCGCCTATGAGTGAGAAAAAGCGCACTGTTACGGGTGCCCTGTTGAACCGGCAAACTAAGACCCGAGAGGGCTGAACTTGAGACTGAACGGGTCTTGAACCGTGACCCAGCCCAGGAAATCCCAGGGACTCAGCGTTTGGGGGAGCGCAGTGCGACAAACATTCATAGTGATTTTACTAGACAAGTTCAATGAAAGTTCTGCAAAAACAAAACAATAAACAAAAAATAAAGAAGAATGAAAGAAAGTGAACATCTCTATTCCTAAATTCCTTTTTATTGCTCAAAAGCCTGCATATTGGAAAGAGAAAGTGTTACGTTTTCTACATGGCTACAAAGTCAACCAGGGGAAGCCAGAGACAAAGGGGGAAAGTATCTTTGCAGTCAATAATGTTGATGATTTCTTGTTTACATATAGATATGTAATTCTGAAAAATAGATGTAACAAACTGACAGAATGTTAGAACTGTATAGGCCTCCAGAAAACCTCAGCTATAAAAGGTGGATCTCCCTGCCTGGAGAAAGTTTCAACACCCCAGTCTTGAAGAGGAACTAACAGATGCAGCAGTCTTAAAAATAACCCCACTTTTCCAGACAGTGATTTCCGGAAAGTCTAGTGATGTCTGGAACCCAGAATTTCATTCTTGAATATTCTCCTGGTCTTAAGACTAAGGATTCTTACTAATGTGGTGCAATAAGAAGAAAGATCAGATTGAATTCTGACTCAGATATACTTTTCCACTGTGCTCAAAAATAAGGAAATGTGAATAAGAATGAATTTGAAAAAGAAAATGATTGATAATTTTTGAATTAGCAAATGTGTAGGTTAAGGGATTCTCATGAAATGTCTTTTAAATAAAAGTAGTAATTTTTATTTATTATCGTCATTTTGGCTGCAGATGTGGTAACTTCATCTTTCTCCTTGCAGGTGTGAGTTCCTGCTGCTCCAAGTGCCCAAGCCTGTGAATCCAGAGCTCAGTACAGGGCCCATCACTGGACTGGTGGACAAGCTCCGTGGATTCAGAGGTGAGTGTCAGCCCATCGGCAGAATTCTCACAATGTATTACTTCTTGTTAGAATCATGAGGGTAATATTTTACCCTTCATCAGATTTTTATTTTCAGAAGTAAGTGAACAATACAACAATCAACCCTTTTATATCTGTCTTTTGTTTTATGGTACAATTTATAGCATGAAGAGTAAAAGATGGTGAAAAACGAATGTGTTCTGGGCTCACATGTGTTGAGTTATCTATTGGGTAAAAAAAAAAATGATATGAGAAAAAAGTCAAATACATAGAACAATGCTCAGATGGAAGCTTAATCACCCAATGTTACATTAAAAATTTATGTTTCTTTCCTATATTTTATTTGAATTGTTAAAAACAGTTCTTTCTGGAATAGAGTTCACTGCAGTTTGTTGGAGTATTTGTATTTTCTTACAATAAATATATATTATTCACATAATGTAAAAAATTGACTGAATATATAAAAAGGAAGAAGAAATTATTTTATAAATAGGAAGTAAAATTAGAAATGAAAATTTCAGTTTTGTTATAACATAAAGAAGTATGTGTAGAATCTAAAATTTAATTTAAGTCTAGAGCTAGCAGGGAAGTCCCCAGAGTTACTGATAAAACATTTTGTAAAAATCTGCCTTAAGTTACCACTTATAATTTGGACATACAGACTTTTATCCAGTTATCTGGAGCAGGGCTTGAATAAGTGAAAATTTTCCCATTGTTGTCAAAATTGTATCAGTAGTATTTAAGAACAAGAAATATTTTAATAATGATGCTGATAACTAAAGGGCATTCAGGGTGTTTAATATTTCACTTTTACTTTGGAAATTGGATTCAAAGAGGTTGGTCTTATATTTGACTCTCAGTTTTTGAATTTTCAATAAATTTTCGGTGTCTGTTTATAGGGTTTTCTTTTTCCTGTAGAGAATATTAATCATCCTTATACTTTATTAGATGTCATAATCAAAATTGTCCTGTTCTTGTAACTTCAAATTTCTTGGTAAAGTAAGTTCTTGATAGAACAACTTTTCTCTCAAGAATTCTAAATTCTTTTTTTTACATGTTGGTACTTTTTTTTCTTTAATTTTTGCAGTTGATATTACTCTGCATCTGGAAAGAGCCAATAGTCATATCTTCTTCCATGGAGATTTGAGAAGCATGAATGTTGGGTGTGACCCTCAAGATGATCCCAATATCACTGCAGCACCTGGATGTTTTCTTTCATGGGGTGCTCAGACTTTCACATTTGGAAAATATTACTGGGAGGTTCATGTGGGGGACTCTTGCAATTGGGCTTTTGGAGTCTGTAACAATTATTGGAAAGAGAAGAGACAGAAAGACAAGATAGATGAAGAGAAGGGACTCTTTCTTCTTGGATGTGTTAAGGAGGATGTTCACTGCAGTCTCTTTACCACTTCCCCACTTATGGTACAATATGTTCCAAGACCTACCAACCAAGTAGGAGTATTCCTGAATTGTGAAGATAGAACCGTGAGCTTTGTTGATGTTGATCAAAGTTCCCTTATACACATCATCACTAATTGCTCCTTCTCACCTCCTCTCAGGCCTATCCATTTCTGTAGTCACTTCTGAACAGAGACAAATCAGAAATGTGCCCACATGCTATGGGAGCAACTTTATCTCAGGAAGCTCTCTTTTTGTGCCTCATCAAAAAGGACAAATAAGTTATATTTAATGTCTTTAGTCGCCTTCTAATGTCAAAAAACTCAATATTGTTTCTATTGAATGAAAACACTAAAACAATGTACATTTGTTTTTATTCAATCATTTTTGGAAAATCATTACCCATGGTGCATGGCTTAGAATATATTGTTTTGTTTTGTTTTTTTAAATTTCTGAATGTCAAGTCACAGAGTGAAATAATAGATGACAGAGGTGTCTAAATAAAGTTAAAATCAATGGAAGAAAATAGAAATACTGTGCTTCATGAAAAAAACTTGGAATAAAGACTCAATGGTAACCTAGAAATATTTTCTCTCTTCATCTAACAATATTAAACTTATCCATGGGTTTAATTTATGAATCTATACTTTGGGGTAATGTTATCTGACCTCCTATACTGTGCTTTCCTTTGTAATTCTCATCTCACATACAAATACTCATGCATTACTAGAGTGCTGTTCTGCAATGACATTTACAAGGTGATCAGGTCAATGCTGGACCAGTTAAATATTCAAATGGACATAACTGAATATTGACCCCTACCTCAAGCCATACACAGTTCATTTCCAGATGGATTCTTGTTCTGAAGGTGAAGGGAACACAAATATTCTCATAGAGAAAGATTTCCTAACCAGAACAAAAAAGAACAATTCAGAAAGAAAATTTAGTTAGTTTATATGAAAAATGATGACTTCTGTGTTTTAAAATATACCATCCAAGAATTAAAGTGCAAACCAAGTGTGGAGAAAAATATCCCAACATATATACAATAAAATACAAGTGTAGGCTTTCAGATATCAAAGATACATGTAGGCTTTCAGATAACAAAAGATATATATTGAAGAAATTATCAATATTAACCTTTCTTCAGGTATTTTGGGAAGTCATAAAATGAATGAAACTGGCTTGAGGAGAAAATGAATTGGGCTTTTAGTATTGTTCAGAAACAATTAAAAGAAGAGAGGAGTGATTTATTACATGGTTTTGAGAAGAGGGAGGATATGAGTTAATGTAGGTAGTTTATTGGTAGAATACATGAGTCAGGCTAGTCTCAGAGGCTCACGTCTATAATCCCAAATAATTTGGGAGATTGAAGCAGAAGGGTCACTTGAGACTAGGAGTTTAAAACCAGCCTGGCCATCAACACAGTGAGACCCTTATCTTTACTGTTAAAATAATTTAAAAAAAGAGATTAAAAAAAAACATGAATCAAAGTGAATACAGGAGGTGTAAGTGGAGGAGAATGAAGTCAGAGTAAATATGTCATCTGGGAAATCAATTTCCCTGCAGTGCAATGTGTGTCTATGGGCAGAGATGACCAGAGCTGAGTAGAAAATGCTGCATTCAGTTCCCCATAAGAAGAAAAACGACATTTAGAGAAACCTACAGAGGATGGCAGAAAGATTTTACAGCAACTTCAGAAAAGCAAAAGAGCAAATGGTTCAGATAACAAAACACCTAAGATAAATCTTTGAGATTTGGGAGACATATTGATCAAGTAAGTGGGTTTCGATGCAAACTGGTGAAGCATGAGAGCTATGAAAGGAATCAAGCCATTTCTAACAAAGTGAAGACACAATTTATGGAAACTCCAATTGTTGGCACGTGTATACCTGTTCTGCTTTATCAAAAATTATCCTTTTTCCTCTGTATGGCTAATGAATGTATGTGCTCCTGGACTCAATGCAGTAGTTTTTGAAGCAGATCTATTTATGACTGTGGATTTCAAGTCATAAAAATGTTGAGGTGCATGAACTAGTTTTTCCCAGGTGGTAGGTGAATGAAGTAAGAAAGAAGACAAGAAAGATTTCCTACAAATGACGCAATCCTATCCCATGAACGTGGTGGTACACTGCTATATGAGGAAAGGGTTTTAAAGATGAATCTCCCTAGAATGGTTATGTCTTTTTAAACACTGTGATGAAGACTTTGTATTAGAAAGCTCAATCATATTTTCCTCTTTAAAGGAGTGAGTCAGAGCAGCAGCACGTGCCCCAGTGTGTCAGCTCAGAGCTCAGTATGCAACCCATCACTGGACTGATGGACAGATTCCACCACTTACAAGGGTGAGTGTCAACCTGCTGAAGTGATGACCACACAGTGCCCTTCAGGAATGGTCTTCCTTTTTTATTTTTTATTTTTTTTTGAGACCGAGTCTCACTCAGTTGCACAGGCTGGAGTGCAATGGGGCGATCTCATTTCACTGCAACCTCTCAGGTTCAAGTGATTCTCCTGTCTCAGCCTTCTGAGTAGCTGGAATTACAGGCACCCACCATTCATGCCCAGCTATTTTTTTTTAATATTTTTGTAGAGACAGGGTTTCACCATGATGGCTGGTCTTGAACTCCTGACCTCAGGTGATCCACCCACCTTGGCCTCCCAAAGTGCTGGGATTACAGGCGTGAACCACCTTGCTCATCCTTAGGCATGGTTTTCTACAGGCAGTATTTTGTTCTTTATTAATCTTTCATCTTATAAAAGGGAACATTCTATAAATAGCATTTATAGCATACTTAGTGATACAGTCCCTATGATCGTATGGAAAAAATAAATGAAAGCTGGTGTAATGGTAAATGTGATTCAGCCCTGCCATAAATTTCTTACATAATGAGAAGAAAACTAAAAAAGGGTTCCTTGAGCCCTTGAAACATTACAACACACAATGTAAGTTGTGCACTGAGTTATACTAGTGGGTCTTAAATCAAGATATTCCAATTTCAAGAACATTAATTATAATACTAGGGGTTAATAATAATTTTTTAAATAGCTTATTTTAGTGTTCCTCAGTAATTGCATTTTAATATATATTATACTTGACATAATCAGAAAAATTACATGAATAATCATAAGAAACTATGCCCCTGTCCCAAGTATTCCTCCTCTTTCTCTCATGAAGGCAACAGTCATTGGATTTAGAACCCACTGTAAATGTAAAAACATTTCATCCCTGGATTCTAAATCAATTACATTTACAGAGAACCAATTTCCAAATAAGCTCACATTCACAAGTACCAGATGTTGGTACTTGCACATAAATTATTGGGGTCACACTTCAATTTATTACATCACCCGGCAAATAAAATAAGGTTGTCTTAAAATGCAGAGGATTCAGGTTTTTGTTGAAAAATAATACAAAGTTATATTCTGTTTGATATGTAGATTATATGCAGTGGCACAAAATATTACTAAAGTAATGTTTCCTATTTGCCTACTGTTGTCTGATAAAGTCCTTGAGATATTTCTTCAGATCTACAATTACTGAGAGAGAGGGGAAAAATTTTTAAAATTTATTGCATATTTATAAAACATCCTCCAATAACCTCATACAGTCACATCAGCAGTATAAAAGGGTGCACATTACATTCTATCAGCAGTATTGGACATCATCATTTCTTAACATTTGCCAATTAAATAATTTAATAATAGTTCACTTAATTACTTTATAGAGAAAATGAGTATCTCTTTATTATTATTATTTTTTAATTTTTTATTAGATTTTAGGTTTTGGGGTACATGAGCAGAGCATGCAAGACAGTTGCATAGGTACGCACATGGCAGTGTGCTTTGCTTTGTTTCTCCCCTTCACCTACATTTGGCATTTCTCCCCAGGCTATCCCTCCCCACCTCCCCCTCCCACTGGCCCTCCCCTTTTCCCCCCAATAGACCCCAGTGTTTAGTACTCCCCTTTCTGTGTCCATGTGTTCTCATTTTTCATCACCCACCTATGAGTGAGAATATGCGGTGTTTCATTTTCTGTTCTTGTGTCAGTTTGCTGAGGATGACGTTCTCCAGATTCATCCATGTCCCTACAAACGACACAAACTCATCATTTCTGATTGCTGCATAATATTCCATGGTGTATATGTGCCACATTTTTCCAATCCAGTCTATTATCAATGGGCATTTTGGTTGATTCCAGGTCTTTGCTATTGTAAACAGTGCTGCAATGAACATTCGTGTCCATGTGTCCTTATAGTAGAACGATTTATAGTCTTTTGGATATATACCCAGTAATGGGATTGCTGGGTCAAATGGAATTTCTATTTCTAAGGCCTTGAGGAATCGCCACACTGTCTTCCACAATGGTTGAACTAATTTACACTCCCACCAACAGTGTAAAAGTGCTCCTTTTTCTCCACATCCTCTCCAGCATCTGTTGTCTCCAGATTTTTTAATGATCGCCATTCTAACTGGCGTGAGATGGTATTTCAATGTGGTTTTGATTTGCATCTCTCTGATGACCAGTGACAGCTTCTGCACGGCAAAAGAAACAGTCACTAGAGTGGATCGGCAACCAACAAAATGAGTATCTCTTTATTAATGCAATGGAAGTTCTTAATTTTCACTTAGAAATATGTTCCAAGTTAAATAATCAGAACGTAAACAAAGATATACAAAATTTATTGACTTTATCAAATAATCTTTCAGATTTTTAAATAACATAAAACTAATTATAACTATAGACATTTAAATTATTTATATAAGTTATATAAAAGGTATGTATCTGGGTATATATTCTTGTAAAAATAAACATTTCTTTTTAAATAGAAGTTCATTCTCATTTACAAAAGACCATAAGATATGAAAAGAAAGGTTATTTTTTTTCAAAAGAATATCAGTAAATTATTACTATTCCAAGAAATTTAGTCCTAACATTTTTCTGTACGTGTTTTCCTTGATATACATCTTTGTCCATAGGATTTTTTCTTTAATTTCCAAAATAAGTCACATGTTTTACTGTACTTTAAGAATAAAAATTTATTTAAACATCTTATTAATTTAGGTTTACTAATATCCTGTTATTTGATATATTCAGTAAATTAGTAGTTGGTAACTTTAGATATAAAATTTCTAAATGGTAGAAACCTGTTTTATAAATATGAAACCTGATATTGTCAAACCCTAATTTTATCAATGTACAATGTATACTGTATTCAAATATCATGTGTACCTCATAAAAATGTGCAATATTTATATATTGATTAGAAATGAAAATTTAAAAAAATTTGTTCAAATATGTTGTCATTTAAATAAAGATATCATTTTGATTAGTTTGAATTTAATCAAAATGCTTTAAGCAAAATTATCTGAATAGTTTTTTTTTCTGTGCAGTACCCATTGCATCTCCCTAAATTTAAAAGAAAATCAGCCAGAAGTGCCAGACATGGAGCCTCTACTTCTCTTTTTCCCAAACCATCCACAATAATCATTAGCATTTTGATCCTCAAATCTAAAGGCTGGTAAAAAAAAGTGATCAGTACTGAGGGATTTACATGTCTACAAGAAACGTGTATGGTAGAAGATCTTAGATTGCAGTGAAGAAAGGGCAGGAATTATCAAGTAATTAAATAATGTATATTCAAATATCATATCAAAATACTGTCAGATGTGTGGGAGCAGAAATGGGAGTAGATATTGGGCCCCAGAAACTCAAACGGGAATTTGAATGCAGGTGTTCTTTAAAAATCAACCACAAGATAAACTAGCACCAGAGGGTGTTCGCGATGGGTTATTTTCAGAGATTAAACCTTGACTTAATTTAATTAATGATGGGAAGGTAATTCCTTTCCTTGGTACTGTGTATAGCAGAAACCTAATCAAGGAGGGGCTTTACACATCCTACAATACAGTGGCATCCAATAAGCAAGGTTTATTCTTTTGGATAAACCTTTCTAGTCTCATTCCAGTCTCATTCCAGCCTTCTTTTGGAGGCACTGAGAATTTACTAGAATGTGGAAACCCCAGAAAACTGCAACTGTCAAGAAAGCCCAGAGGACATAGAGCTCCGGAGCTGAATAAATGAATTTTCCTGCAAACACTGTTAAGACCAGTTATAGAGTCTTCAGGTGGGTATTTCTCTTATTTTCTTTCCCTGTTTACGCAAATTGTGAACTTCTGGAGGAAAAGTCCTAGATGTTATGCAGTTTGATCTAGAGCATGGTATCTACAAGTTGATCGAAAAGCTTTAGTGTAGAATACGAAAAGTGCTATGTTGTTGGCAACTTCAGGTGGCAGCCTTGATCTACAAAGTTTTTAAAGTGCTCAACAGCACTTTTTAATTTTCCTAATATTCAATTGCAACTTTTGTTTTCATAAAGATATTTTCAATTTACACAATGTATTTTGTTGTTTGAATCTTTTTTTAAAAGCATCTTGTTATTTTTGATATTTTTATTACTTGTGTGACTTTGTGAAGCTATATGATTTTTTTATTTTTTTGAGATAAGGTCTGGCTTTGTCACCCAGGCTAGAGTGCAGTGCTACAATCAAGGCCCATGGTCTCCTGGACTCAAGACATGCCTTCACCTCAGCAACCAGAGTAGCTGTGACTACAAGCATGTACCACCGTGCCTGGCTAAAATTTATTTTTGTAGAGATGAGGTCTCTCTATGTTACCCAAGTGGGTCTTGAACTTCTGAGCTCAAGCAATCTTCCTGCTTCAGCCTCCCAAAATGTTAGGATTGCAAGCATGAGCTAGTGTATCTGGCCTTATACAAATTCTTAGTTTTCCTGGTTTCATTTCATTTTTTTTTTTTTTTTTATTGACATGAGGTCTCACTCTGTCACTCAGGCTGGAGTGCAATGGCATAGTCTCAGCTCACTGCCACTTCCACCTCCAGGGTTCAAGTGATTCTCCTGCCTCCAACTCCTGAGTAGCTGGGACTACAACCACCTGTTACCACACCCAGCTAATTTTTCTATTTTTAGTAGAGACAGAGTTTCACTATGTTGGCCAGGATGTTCTTGAACTCCTGAGCTCATCTGCCCACCTCAGCCTCCCAAAGTGCTGGGATTACAGCCTTGAGCCACTGTGCCCGGCCTTCTTCTTTTTATTGTTTTTAAGAGATGGGGGTCTCACTTTGTTGCCCAAGCAGTCCTCCTGTCTTGGCCTCCCAAAGTATTCAGATTACATGAGTGAACCACCATGCCCAGCCCCAGTATTCCTACTAAGTAATGGAACAGCAAGGATTAAATGACCTAATAGAGTTGTGAGGAGAAAAATAGGAAGTGTAAAACATTTGCACATTAGTTTCCTATGGCTGCTGTAATAAACTCACAAATAAACAATAATTTACTCCCCTACGGTTCTGAAAGTCTAAAGTTTAAAATCAACGCGTTGACAGAGTTGGTTCCCTCTGGGGATTCTGAGGGGAAATCAACTTCCTGCCCCTCTGCTAACTTCTGGTGGCTGATTCTTCCTTTTATTTCTTCTATGAGGATACCAGTCATTGGACATATGTCCCAGCCTAAATCCAGACTGATCTCTTTGGGAGATCATCAAGTTAATTGCATCTACAAAGACCCTATTTGCAAAAGGACATATTCGAAGGTATCAAGGATTAGGACTTAGATACATATTTTCAGAGGCTACTCTTCAACTGCCTACAATTTGAAAAGATGTCTGGCTTGTGGAAGGGCTGCATAGTGACGAAAACACCACTGTGTTTCCATTTCCGCTGCTTCACACACATCATCCTACTTTTAGGATTGGAAAGACAGAATGTTTTCTTTCCTAGACCCAGATTCTGAATATTCCACATCTCTTCTCTAATGTCAATTTTATGTGATTTCCCCTTTTTCTAAGTTAGAATATGTCTTATATTTATTTTTTTAAATCATCACTTACAAAATAATTGAAAGTTTAAGACCACTTTTCATTTCTGAACCATTTAAAAGTTTTCATCTTAAACGCAATGTGTGGAATTATTTCTTCATTTCTTTTTTTAATTTTCTTATGTAAATGTTACCTTTTGCTCTTACTTTTTCTTTTACATTTTTTATTATTTTACTTTAAGAAAGTGTTTATCAAGTGAGTTTTTATTCTGTGACCCACAATTCTCCCATACTTTTACATTATCAGATTTTTTCCATATTTTTAAACATTAGATATATGATTTTTAGAAGTTAAGAGGGAATAACTTTTTTTTACTGTCAAATATTAACTTTAAGGTTATTAACTTTCTGATTATCAAAAACTGAAGCTGCTGGGAATCCCAAAATAGCCCTACGTTCTGAAGAGGAACATATCTTTGGTAAACTATAACAATACTCTCGCTTCAAAATAAACACTATGAAATTTAAACAACTGTATCTGTACTCAGTATCTTCACGATACCCAGAAACCTACTGCATTTTTGGAAATGACAATGCAAATAGGTTTACATTCAGAAAAGAGAGCTCATACTAAGAGGACCTAACTCAAAACCTGAAACCCTGTGCAGGAATCTGTTCAATCCTTAAAACACTCATAAACTCGGCCTGATGCGGTGGATCATGCCTGTAATTCCAGCACTTTTGAAGGGCGAGGTGGGCAGATCACAAGGTCAGGAGTTAGAGACCAGCTGGACCAGCATAGTGAAACCCCATCTCCACTAAAAGCACAAAAAAATTTGTGTGCACCTGTAATCCCAGATACTCGGGAAGCTGGGGCAGAGAATTGCTTGAACCCACGAGGCAAAAGTTGCAGTGAGCCGAGATCATTCCACTGCACTCCAGCCTGAGCAACAGAGCAAGACTCTGTCTCAAAAAAAAAAAAAAAAATCATACAGTATTTTTTGTTAAAACCACAGGTCCTTGGACAACCTCAAATTCCAGACAGAACAAAGAGAATTCCAGCACATTGGCTTTTACTGTTCATCTGAATGAGGTGTAATTTTCAAATTTCTTCGAATGCCCCGAAGGCTTGTGGGCTTGCTGGTTATATTTCTGGGCCTGTCCTAACCTTTTGCAGTTTTCATCAAGTGTATCCATAGCCGTGCAGTTCTAAACCAGCTTCTAGAACTTTTTCTCAAAAACTGGTGCCTCCATGCCTACCTCTCAAAATTCATAAAGCATCAGGCCAACACGGACCATTGCTTTACCTGAGGGATGGCTTCATTGTTTTCCTTTACGTTAGAAGGATGTAGTATTATGACAAAACAGTTTCGTCAAAAACTATACTTTGTTAGCATTGATGAGAGTATCTAAAACATAGGCAGACTTGGGGAAATACCAGAGATGTTGAATCTGAGGGTAACCTTCAGCCAAATATCAAGGACTATAGGCTGAATGACTGGGGAGCCCTTCCCGGGGAAAGAATCCTCTTGGTTCTGGGCCTCTTGGGTCCCTCTGTGCAGCCAAGGCAGGTCAGAGGCAGAGATGGTCTAGACCTGGCCAGATGGGTTCTATACGAGCCGCCTGGGTCAACACTGCCTTTCAGGAAAGACTTGGGCTATGCCACAGTGGGCAGAGTGCTCATAGTGGGTCCTCTGGCCATATGAGACCCCATTAAGTACACTGAACAAGATGCCATCAAAACGGTTCCCATCTGACACTGGCCTCTACTAGCATATCTGCTTCCTCATGGCAAAAATGAGAAGTACTGGGCCAGAGGCCATGAGCACAGCTGCAGAAGCTGCCTGGACTTACCCCGTGGGCGAAAGCAAAGGGCTGCCCACAGGCAGGCCACTGCTAGAGCGAGTCTAGAGAGGGAAAGGGGAGAGTCGGCAGTCCAATCAGGAATGACCCTTTTTTCAGGTAGCGCTGGCAGGTTTTCAAAATCCAGTCTTTCCACCGAGGCCACACCAAAGCTCCCGTGAGGTCAGGCTTCCCAGTGCCATCAGAGCCCTCGTGCAGCTGTCATTTTTCCTTGAGCCACATGCACTGGCCAGGTAACAGCCGCTTCCAGTCACCAGGCAAGTGGCCAGCTCACCTTCATATTTGCCAGACAAATCTGTGTCCTGCCCCACACTTGCTGGCTCAGCAGGCTTTTCAAAATGCAGGCATCTCTGGAGTTGTTTTGTGGACACCAGGAGTATCACTGACAAGTCCTGTGCTGGCCCCAGGGTATCCTGTGCACCTGGATAAGGCTGGACCACATTGCCAGCAGGGCCCCAATGTGTCTATTCCAGAACAGTGTGGGACCTGGGGAAATCACCAGTCATTTGCTGTCCTGCCATTGCTGTTCCACCCGTACCTGGAGACTCTGAGCATGGGTTGTGGTGAGGTAGGAGCTAAGCAGGACCAAAAACGTCCATTTTTGGCCTGAAG